TATAATTATATGTATTTTTTATATATTATTATATATTATTATATATTTTTTCTCATTTCTTTAACCTGTTTTTATTTAAAAACAAAGTAAAAATTGTTCTTCTAATTATTTTTCAATTTTGCTTAATGTTTTTCTAATATATCGAACAGCGATTAAAAAAGAAAGAAAATGTATATGTGTAGACATTTCATATATAATACAAACAAAAATAATTTCAGATACCGTTCAAGAGAAATATTAAAAAATATCTTTTTTTATACAAATTTAGATAACTCAGAATTAATGTAAAATAATAATAATGTATGTTTTGAATAAATGTTTCTCATTTATAAAAATAATAACACTTAATTCATAAATATTTGATTGACGATTATAATTTCATATTATTTGCGAAATAAATGAATTGTGGATGAAGTTAACTGTAGACATGCATAATAGCCGGGCATTCGCTCCGAGCCCGTGTCCAATTTCAGACAATCCCTGCCTTAGTTTATCTCCCTTGTACATATCCTCCCTTGTATATGTTGTCAAATATATTCCATTACTTTAAATCCAATTACTTTATAAATAATAATTTGTTATGTGAAGAAAACAATAAACTGGCAGATAAATAGCATTAAATTTTTAATTTTATAAATTGATTTAATAGTAATAGTCTTTAATAGAAATAATTATATTAGTAACGGCTATATTCCGAAATATTTGCAGTAGCGCTCATAAATATTTTGATTAATATTTTTGTTACACTTAACAAAAAGTTAAATATTTCGGTAAAAAAAAAACCGTAGAGAAGTTTTCATCCACGCATTTTAATTTGCAATGATAGAATTTCAAATTTTTATTTTTCATATTATGATATTGATATTCGGGCACAAATCTAGCACAATTCAATATAATTCTCAAAATACGCTAATTCTAAAAATAGGAGGAGCTAACTTCGTATAGACTAAAATGAGCCTATGTCCATATGCTCGCATCTGCATTGTGTCATTAATTATGAAGCTTCAAAGAAAAAAAATGAAATGATATTTTAATATTTATTTTTAAATATTTATTTTTAATTT